GAGTGATTCTTTTAAGATCATTTTCTCCATTCTTTAATTCCAAACAATTGAGCTTCAATAACAACTCTGAATATCCATGCAACTTTATTTATACATTCTCTCTTCCTTTAATATAGAGGATAAGGAAAACTTCCAAAGAGAATGTACACATATATGAAGAGACAACAAGAAACCACACAAAAATGATGGCATAGCACAGAAGCCAAGAAATACAACAAGCACAATATTTCAGCATTGTTGATGAATCATTTGGACAAAGGAGAAGAAAGGCTTTTGAATTTCATGGTTAGTCTTCGGCCAATCAGCAATTGCTTCAGTGTTTTCACCTGATCCATAACTTGTCCATGAAAACCAACTCCAGATGAGAAAATTCTCTTGATCCTCCTCAAGCTTTTCCCTATCTTTACCTTCAGCTTGAATATTCTTATCCTCACACATGATGGCTTTCTACTAGAATCTGATTTCTCTAATACTTTGTAGATTAAGAACTGTGCTTTTCTATGCATTCTCTCTTGGGGGTCATCCTTATCCATCTTTGAGTAACCCTGTAGCCTCCTTGATAGAGCCATTTTCATCATAGTGACACAAGTAGAAGATGGATGATGATGAGGCTACACAAAGTTACAAACTATATTATAAGCCCTATAAGACTAGTATTAAAAGCTATATTTATATTGTAATTTGGAAATTGGAAGGTTTGGTGGTTAGAGTGTGGACACTTAGTAGGCCATAGAGTGATGAATCATACAATGTTCATTAGCATTTGGCATCAAATGGGGGCCGCAGACTCTGTATGACTAGCAAATGGCAATTATCTCTTTCACATCCATTAAGGAAATTACATAGATGATGATGTTTAGGTTCCAATGAAATTGAATATAGAATATGTAATGTCTATTAGTCTTTATTCTTTTGTTCTATATGACTATGGCAGAAAAAGTTGGTCAAATTTTGCACGCAGTCACACCTGATTTGAATCCCTTTGATGGTTTACCATAATTGCCATGGTTTGGTCTTAATAGCCACCAAAGATTGATAATTAATTTGTAAATCAAGTCAAATCATGTTTGTATTAAAAAAAATATATGTTTTTTCAATAGGTTTTTTTTTTTTTTTGTTCAATTTGTGTAACATGAATCAAATCAAGTCAAATGAAGTAAAGAATTAAAAAAAAAAACAAAAATCAAGTCAAGTCGATTTAAAAAAAAATAAAAATCCTTTTGAGAAGATTCTATAGTTGCTCATTGTTGAAAATGCTGTATTTTTATTAATCGTCCTTGAAAAATCACGTCATCAAAATAATATTGCACAGGATGTTCACTGCCACATGCATAAGCAAAATCAACCATAATTTACAATACACAAGCACACTAGCGTTGAAATTTCAGGGCAATATAAACATACAAAAGAGCAAAATAAAATCTCAAAAGGTATGATGGCAAAGTTGTTTAAGTCAGAAATCATCTTTAAAAAATATAGAGTAACAATTACAAAAAAATTGTGTCTTTTAGAAATTCACTTAGCATATTAAAATAAAATAATGAACTATATGTAATATAAAATTTAAATATATTTAAATGTTATTACAAAAAAATTATATCATATAATTATTAAATTTCAGATATAATTTCCTGATCTACATATTTTATGAAATTATACGTATATTTGAATAAATTTATTTTACAATAAAATATTTAACTAAATATTTTCTAAACTATTTTGACTATTAAATTAAAATTAAATATATATATATATATATATATATATATATATATATATATATATATATATATATATATATATATATAGGGAGGGGTTATATTTACAACCCAAATAGTTTACAAACTCCTACAACCATATCTTAACCGTTGATTTCCGTCAATCAACGGTTAAATGACAATCGTTGATTGACGAAAATCAACGGTTAAGATATGGTTATAAAAAGTTGTAAACGAAAATAAGTTGTAAGTATAACTATTTTCACACATATATATATATATATATATATATATATATATATATATATATATATAGGGAAAAACATTTCTCCGGCAACTTGAGTTAAATTTATCTCCGGCCACCCCAAAACTACGTCGTTTTGTTTATTTATTTCATTATATTAATTGATTCACCTTTGAATGGTTATGATTTCCTTTTTCTCTCTCTTCCTTTATTACCATTGATCCATCTTTGTATGGTTATGATTTGGTAGCCGGAGATAAAATTATCTCCGGTAGCTTGAGAAATAATAAGCGCATATATATATTACATGTTTATTTCTTAAATAAAAAAATTATTCTTATGGATATTAAATTTAAACAACTCGCAAAATGCATAAAAACTTAACTAATAAATTTTATTAATTTAATACCTTAAACATTAAATTCAATAACTTAACTCTTAAACCCATTTGTATGTAAGTTTTAGAAAAAGAAACACTTATTTAAGTAAAAAAAGACATATATAAAAAATTGAAGATAATAAATAATTTTAAAAAAAATCCCAAAAAAACTGTTATAGACTTGACATAAAGGCTCACATTCTAGAAAGGTTAAAAACTAAGTAGAAAATTAAGGAGAGATTCATTAATAATATTAATCATAGTACGACAGTAATGGATTAAGAACTAGACCTTCTATATTCATAAGAGGCCGGGAAGTTCACTTCCACCAGGTAACTCATCTATAAATAAAGGGTTAAGCCAATCAGGTACATACATCTTCTGGACCCTCTCTTTCTTAGCTGTCACTGTGCACATATCCCACACATTGGCTATACTTCCACCAGGTAACTCATCTATAAATAAAGGGTTAAGTCAACCAGGTACACATCTTCTGAACCTTCTCTTTCGTAGCTGTCATTTTGCACATACCTCACGCCTTGGCTATACACCATTATTATTTTGCACAGTGATTTGCTTACCTTCAAAGGTATCTCTTCCATAGATACCTGAAAGAGCACATAGATCCGAATCATGAGATTGGACATCACCGATCCTCCTGGATCAAACATTGGCGTCGTTTGTGATAAATAGTAAAATTCGATTCCCATCAATAGTGAACACGCGCATGGCAGCGCATACCTAGCACCCAACATCGCAACAACAATTATCTATTTAGTCAAATGCATCACGGTGAATCTGAAAAAATTTCAATGTCGAAAAGCGATCAATACAATGTCCTCTTGGGTCTTCAAAAGATGTAGTGCACAGGATGCGGAAGCACCGCAAGGATCCTCAAAACTCTATAGCAATGGAAACAACAACAAAGGGTTTAGGGATTTGTCCAATGCTCCTCGTGAACACGCCTTATTTTCATTGGTTGCTTCTTCCTGTGAATCATGAATCGAAACATCACTGTACACATACAACACCACGAGCAACTGAGACCAGAGACCGAGAACGCTCGCAATATATAGGATAAGTTATTTTACTTACTCATATTCTGCCTACCTTTACTTCTCTTAATACCATTAGATTACAATCTCATCCAACGGTAGATATTCGCAGGATAAAACAAACCTTTTTATCCCTTTCTCTCTCCCACTGCCTCCCACCCTTTTCACATAGTCATCAACGGGGCTTCATGAAACATTACAAAAAAGCATCCAATTGCATTCATTTCATCAATCATTTTACAATAACAAGTGATCATTTCAGTCCAGAGAACAACATCTTTTGCTGAGATGGAAAACCTAGATTTAGTTTCTTAGAATTCGATGACTCCTGGGTATTCTGAGAATAAGAAAACAAAAATATTTATTATCAACAAAATGTTGTAGAGAAATCCAATCTCACGAGTTGGGTTGTGCAAGAAAAAAAATTCCTAAAATCGTGGCTCCAACTAAGGCTACTCAGAGATTTAGGTCAATTTGATGGTTCAACCACTTAAACCCAAATCAATAAAAAAATTTCCACGTTGATTCGAGTCGTTACTTTAGTTTTGGAGCGAGATTGATTTGTACAATCGATGCCTTGATAATCGACGAAGACGATGGTGGTCGAAGGAGGTGGAAGGAGAGAGAAAGGAATAAAAAAATTTGTTTTATCTTGCCGATAATATTATAATCTAATGATATTAAGAGAAATAGGTAAAGGTAAACAGAATATGAATAAGTAGAATAACATATCTCATATATATATATTTCGATTTGACGTTCTTAGTTGAAAAATGGTATAAACGTACTAGAATGGTAGAAACGATCATTGATTTATTAAAGAATGGTTGAAATCTTTACATCATATAATTACATTAAAAAGAAAGGTTTTATAATTCTTATGTTGAATAAAAATTGAAATCTTATGTTGCAGAGATAAAAAACATGTGGGACCCATGTGTTAGAAAAAATTATATGTAAGACCTATGTCAGCACAAAAATCGAAGAGTGTATAAAAAAATTATAATTCTCATGTTAAATGAGAATTATAAAACCCTAAAAAGAAACACCAGAAAATCCATTCTCGTTGCCATACAAACACAAAAAATGATAACTGATTTGACAATATTTATAATAGTTCACACAAAATATATATAAAGCATTACTTATCTTCAAAACTAAGAACAATTTCATACTAGTCACTAGATAACTACTCTACACATAATACAGGTCGCTAATTCGAAAATCAAATACCTAGGCAATATAATAAATATTTACGGAATTTCCTCTTCTTTTTTCCCTTTTAAATCCCTCGTCAGGCACATAGTACAAATTTAAGAAAAATTTACAAAAATAATTCTTAGTGAAATTCTTTTCAAGTTAAGAACAATCAACCACTACAGCTACAGTAGTGATTACGTCAATAACTGATTAGTCATTCTGAGCATAATTAATCAATTATCTGGTTAATTGTTCTTGAACTGAAAATATTTATACTAAGAACTCTTGTTGCATTTTTTTCTTAAATTCAATATGGAAAATACTAAATATACATATTATATTTACAGCTCGTATTATGAAAGAATCAATAAGATTCCACATTTTTACGGTAATCTCCTTCAGCAACTCTGCTAGTGAGGGAAGGCCTCATTGTGACAATGGCAGATTCATTAGCTCCAGCTTTAAGGGCAGCCCTTCCAGCTTCCAGGAACCTCTTCACCGCATCTTCTGCATACTTGTTTGCTTCTCTCACTGTCATACTTTCCCCAATGTTTGGATAGGAGTTGAGTAAATAATCACCATTGAGCTGAGATGCAAGCTGGATTAGTTCCATCTGGAATTCTGAGAGACTTGAATCTTCTCTAGGTCCATATGGCCTTAGTGGTTTCTGGACTTCAGGAAGCATTTCTATAAAAGATATTGGAAATAATGTTAGAACATAATGCTGGATAATACACCACTAGATTAGAAAAAAAACTGACAAAAAGCTTAGTATTCTATGATCTTTACATGTATAATTGTACAATTTGCATTTCAACATACTTCCAAATCTACTTTTATGATAGAGACAGAAGTGGAAATTTACTCATTTCTTATTGCAGTTAGTAGACAAGACACAGGAAATTTCTAAGACTGCATTCAGGCATGGCTTGCCTTGCACTAGACTAGTGTCTCTATTAGGTTTATTGCCATTAATGGCAAATTCAGAGTCTACTGGTCAAAAAGAAAAAGAAAAAAAAGAAATGGAGTTTGCTCATCCCAATGTATATATATAGCCCCAGTACCTCACTCTTCCAGCAAGAGCAAAAGAAAAAGATCAAGGAGAACTAAGATATTCAGCAGACTAACAGGATGCACAATGCAGATAAATATTGTCATATTTCTACACATCAATTTGAAGTTAATTCTTGATGATGAACCAAATTATAAAACATAATTGTGTTTGGTCAGGGGGAAAGGTTGCTTTATTAAGAGATCCAGACTAAGACTAGACACTACAGATGAATTTACTAAAGCACACCGTAGTGCTACCATGACAGAGTGCCAAGATTGCAGTAGTCAGATACTCTGATGTAACAATAGAAGAAGTAGATGCAAACCTGGACAATCGTCTCGAGGGGTATCTCGAATGTAAAAGTATTTTTCAAAGGTACCAGCCCATGCATCTCTCTTTGTCAAGAAATTGGATTTTAAATTGAAAAGCTTCTTTACTGTGGCAGGAACAGACGAATGTTCATATTGAGAATATGGTGTTGGCCCATCTGCTTCATGAATCACTGCAAAAAAAATTAAATTAAAATTAAACCAAGAACCAGCTCATGCTATAAAAGGTGCCCTTAACAACAGGCAGTCAAACATATACTGAAATTATTAAAGCTTAAATTTGGGTAATAAGGCACAGCTTTGACTATCCAAGTACAGTTACTGCTCCGGAAAAAAAAAAAATTCAACCTTGTTGGCTGGTTCTAGCAGATTGATAATGAAAATCACTAGGAGAATGAAAACCATGAACAGAAGCCACAACAAGAACAACAGCTTAAAGAAAACTAGAACTGACGCACCACCCTCTTTGAAATGCAATAACAACTTTTTACAAGAGACAAACTAATTGTTGTTATCTATGGTCTCATATTCTCTAAGATCATCGTCCAAATAATTAATTCTGTAATTATGAAAGAGGACATTTCATCCAGCCTATGGATCAACTCTGGATCCCCTTCTGCACAATAAATTCATAAAAAGAAACGAGGAGCATCTCATTCAGATCAACTAGTACAATTTCATTGGGGTTGGAATCAGGATGTATTAATCTCTCTTATATCCAAGGTATACAAACTCCCCCTATGTATGCACGCATGTATTGCCTGTCCCAAGCCAGGGTAAAGAAGGAGGGTTGGTGTTAGATGTAGCGAGCCAGCCGTAAAAAAAAAAAAAAAAATAGAGCTATATTTATGAAATGAGCTATTAACTAACCCCAACTGGTTTGGGATAAAGGTAATGTTAATGTTGATGTCCGAGGTTTACAAAAAGGTAAGTTCCACTCTCTTTTGTACTAAAGAACGTTACTTATTCAGGTTGTGCACTGGAAAATATTGAACTAGAGCATGTCTTAGTGGGAATAAAACAGTCAACAAAACCCAAAGGAGTGAACTTAAAAAGTTCAAATGTTTGCCTATTTTCACACTTTGTATATGTTGCAATGGAGTAGAAATATTTCTCATCATTATCAGATATATTCCATAATCAGCCTCAAGTAATAAGTTACTTTCTATCTGCATACAGTATTTAAAGGCTCAAACTAGTTTATTGCGACTCACATAAACCTACAGGCACAGAATATTCGATAAGTGAGAACTACAGTATACACAAAGATGACCAGAATTAGTTTTCAATATGCTCCATATTCCACAAGTACATAGAATTATAAAATAAGTACATTTTTTGAAGTAATGCAAAAATTTACCCAATAAATAAGGAAAATAGTACGTGAAACCCCATCAAGTGCAAACGTGACTAGATTCATGTAAACAGCAGAAACACGTATATGTCAGAACTACTATACCCACCAAAATACCTATTAATTCTACGTTAAGACCCAAAAATAAATTCAACAAAGGCATGTACAAGTCCCATAAAAGTTATCAAATAGTAATATATTCAAAATACCATCATCATCCAAATAAACCTAAACATCTGTACACCTTCGTGCAGAAGTATACTTCAACCAAGTCTGAAGGTACAACTAGACACTAAAAAAAAAAAAAAAAAAAAACTCAGCAACAAGTCAAAAGCTATAAGTTAAACCCAACAAACTCAATCCAGAAAATCACAAGTTGAGGGGTCTACAAAGCTCTAAATTTACCAGACTCTTAATTCCTTCACATTATACCACCAAAACAGAAACTGAGAGGGAAACAGCAACACAGCTTATTATCTAAGATTAGATCATTTTATAATCAAAATCTCACCAATATGAACATTTAGGGTAAAAAAAAAAAAAGTGTTTTTTTTTTCCTTATAATTTAAATCAAAACAAAACACACATGCAGTCTTAGCAATTAAGTCAACCAACCTCAAAGCATCAAACAGCTAAACTAGCAGTAATAAACAACAACACAGTAATGAAACAACAACCCAAAACCCAAAAAACCATAAAAATCAAAACTTTTCCAAGACATACCTGTACCCTTGTCAATCCAAGGCGAGATGAGAAACGTTGGGACGCGAACACCCAACCTATCAAACCGAAAGTAATAAGGGGGATTTCCAATGATCCCATCAGGGTTAGGTACCCCAACAACAGGTGTAGGAACATGGTCATAGAAACCACCATGCTCATCATAAGTAATCAAAATCGCCATTTCCTTCCACTGTGGACTCATCCTCAAAGTCTCATAAACCTCCTTCACAAACTTCTGCCCCACCGCCACGTCATGCGAAGGGTGGTCGTCGTTCGCCGGAGAAATCATAATATCAAAGTAACGCTGCTCAACCACAACATAATTCGGAAGCTTACCCTTCTTAGCGTGCCTCTTGAACTTCAAACCGTAGCTGTGGAACTTCACAGCGTTCTTCAACTTCCTCAAGCTCTTGAAGAACAACGTTGCGGGTATGTTCTGGTAGTAGATCCCGAACGTGAGGCCTTCGTCGTTGAGAGTGTCGAAGATTGTTCTCTGAGGGAAGCCATGGATGAGGTCCTTTCGAACGTTGCTCATGGCGCCGTGTGAAGTCGCTGAGTGAACGTAGAACCGGTTCGGCTGAGTCGACGCGGGAACCGAAGCGAACCACTTGTCGAAAATACCGAACTCGTTCGCTAACTCAGTGTAGACCGGAAGAAGTTCCGGTTTGAACCCACTCATCACGGTTCGGCTCATTCCCTCGACCATTTCCTCGGCTTGCTGCGCGAACCCGTTCATCGGAGCCGGGTTCGCGGAGCTATCGTTGGATCCGAATATTTGTTCCCTTATGGCTTGGAAAGAGTGACCCGGATCCGAATCCACGAAGAGTGCGTCGTCTGTGACGTGGATTTTCTCCGACGATGGGTTCGATACCCAGATCCGGTTCGATTCGGTGCCGGTTAGGCCGTCGATGTCGGGTCGGGTCGACTTGAGCCACCCGAGTACGTGGTCGAAGGAGCGATTCTCCATGACTATGACCACGATGGTTTTGATCGGGCCATTTATCTTGTGCTTTTTGCGGTGGAGGTCGCCGGCGTGGTCGTCGGCGAAAGCATGGGGTGAGAGGATGAGGTAGAGGAAGAGAAAAACAGAGAAAGGGACTCGCCGGAGATTCATCTCCGGTGACCGGAGATAATAGCCGGTGAGGAAATTAAAAATTTGAGAATAGTAAGTGTGTTTGGTGTGAAGTTACTTGGAGGCTTTATAAAGAGATTTATAAGAGAATACGGTATATGCTTTCAAATTAAGATTCTTTTTCTGTCTTCTTGTTCTCTCTTCTACGAAACATCCAAATTTATGTATATACATGTTCCAAAATTATTTATCAACATCATAAGTTCATATTATAAGAAAACTATTTATTCTTGTAGCCTCGGATTTTGGGTAATATAAATCTTTGGAATCAAGGAAATATGTCTTCTCTCCAAAAGAAAATTAGTCTCTCGTTACAAAAATAATAATTATAATAATAATCTCACCCTATTTTTAATGATGAAGTCTAATGCACCTATTGTTTCAATAAAAGACTAGTCTTAAAGTTATATTTCGAGAACAAAATGGCAAAAAAAAAAAAAAATATGAAGATACGTATTAGTTATCCACTAAAAAAATATTTATTCTTAGGTTTTAATTTTTATGCAATGTTGATATAAGATTTTAGAGTAAATACATTTTTCGATCCTCAACAAATTTCACGATATCCGCTTTAGTTCAATTCAAATAAAAAAGCTATTCATGGTCTTAAAAAATTCAAAATGGATCTATTTTAGTTCTTTTTGAAGGACTAATGTGGGTCTTTTTTGAATTTGTGAGAAATCACAATTTCAACTAAATAGATTTATTTTGAATTTCTTAGAGACAACAAATAGCCTTTTTATTTACTAGAGACTAAAGCGGACGTCATGAAATTAATTGAAGATTGAAAATGATATTTACTCAAAATTTTATAATATCTTTTCAATTATGTATTGAGCCTAAAAAGCTCCACGTTGGGTTATTTGTATCCATTAGTTGGAGATGAAGGTTCACTTAAAAGTCAAAGAGATATAAATAATAAAGCAAATGAGTGAAAATGCTTGAATTGGTCTCTTTTTGTGTACGTAAGGAAAGAGTGAGGCCATTGAACGAGTCAAATCTTTGTGACGATGGAGTTGAGCTAAGAAGGGACTAATGTTTTACATTTCCTAAATTTATAATTAATAAGCTACACGAATCAAGGGTGAAGGTGTGTAAGTTGTAATATCCAATAAATGTTTATTAGTTAACAATTTAATTATATAGCACTTTGTTATTGTGGTTTTCGTATCTGGACACAATAAGAGGCAAAACCAGGAAACTCGGGATAATAAAGATATATTAGTTCAATATTTTAATTTGTTTAAATTTTTAATTATTATGTAACATTTTAAAGTTACATATCATAGGTATGATTACATTATTAAATGAGTTTGACATAACATGTAATGTAATTATTAATATATTTGTAATGTAAACTTATTAATTGATATGCTACTAGAAAATTAGATAATTCACTCTTATGTATTAAATTTGAATATCCTTTCCTTAAAAGTGAATTTATTTTATGACACTCTTTTTATTTGAATGCCACGTATCTTTTTTTAAAATATCATTTGACACCGGTGTAAGACTTATACCACATCTCAACTATTGATTTTCGTACCTCCAACGGTTATAATTTAAGAAGTCATATGAATTAATTAATCATTAATTACACTACAAATACCAACCGATGATTTCCGTCCAAAAACGGTTGAGATGTGGTGTTAGTCTCACACTGGTGTAAAAAGAACCTACCCCTATGTGTGTGTATAGGGGCAGGATATTCTTACACCAGTGTAAGAGTTAGAAGTCTTACATTCGATCTTGACCATTCATCCACTTGTATCCAATGATTCACATTACTAAAAAATTTGAGCCCTTAGATATAAGCAGCATCAACGAACAAGATTAAGAGTGTAACTTACACTAGTGTAAAATGATCCCGACCTATATATATATATACATATAAATATAAGACCAAGATCATTTTACACCGGTGTAAAATTAATAAGTCTTACATCACATCTCAACTGTTGATTTCAGTACATCAAACGGTTATAATTTAGAAAGTTATATGAATTAATTAATATTAATTAATCATTAATTACACTACAAATATCAACTAATGATTTTCGTCCAGCAACGGTTGAGATGTAGTGTAAGACTTGTTAGTGTTACACTGGTGTAAAAAGAACATGCCCTATATATATATATATATATATATATATATATATATATATATATATTTTAAGTTTGACACCTCATCTAAGAGTCGTTGGATCAAAAATGATTAACGACTCTGATTTGTAAGCATGTGACACCATTGATATTTTTTTATCTAATGGCTCTCAGATGAGGTGTCATATTTCAAATTTGACACTGGTGTCACAGGATCCTACCTCTAGATATATATATATATATATATATATATATATATATATATATATATATATATATAGGGAATTACTTTTCTTATGTTACATAATTTTTTTTTTATCTCCTACACTCACATTTTTCAAATAGGTCCTACAAGATTTTTTTTCTCTCACCTCCAACTTTTTTCTCTCTCCTAACTTTTGTTTGAGCATGAGATAATACTTCTCTTATGCAACATAAGAGAAGTATTACCCATATATATATAGGGTTGAGATCATTTTACACCAGTGTAAGTTACACTCTCAATCTTGATCGTTGATCTCACTTATATCTAAGGGCTATAATTTTTTATTAATGTGAGCCATTGGATATAAGTGGATCAATGCTCAAGATTGAGTGTAAGACTCCTAACTCTCATATAATATATATATATATATATATATATATATATATATATATATATATATATATATATATATATACATATGGGTTCGATTTTTCTGCAGCCAATTTGCTTACAACAGTAACAAATTTTATTAGAGCATTTAATGTGGAAAATCATACATATAAAAGGTGAAAACATTAAATATAGGGAATCATAACCATACACTTGTTATTACTGCACGCAAATTTTTATGATTTTACATACATGTGTGTGTGTGAGGTAGAATCCTTTTACGCCGGTGTCAAATTTAAAGTTTGATACTTCATCTAAGAGCCGTTAGATCAAAAAAGACCAACGACTCTGATTTGTAAGCATGTGACACCATTGATATTTTTTGATATAACGGCTATCAGATGAAGTGTCAAACTTCAAATTTGACATTGGCGTCAAAGGATCCTACTTTTATATATATATATATATATATATATATATATATATATATATATAGTTTTTTTAACATGAACTTTATCCACGATCAATAATGAAACAAATAAAATATGTTGACAAAAATTAGAAAAAGTTCATTTTAAGTATAATAATGTGTATAAAATATATAATAAAATTCACATGGTTTAGACTTTAGAATACCTACACGAGTTATATATAAACAATATACGAATATTTATTACAAATCGAACATCAAAATGAACTTTTCTTTTATTTTTTTATTTTTCTACAAATTTTTTTTTTTGGTAAAGTATTTTTCTACAACTTAAAAGCATATAAGTATTGAATATACAGTTAGTTTATACAATCATGTTTTGAACAAGTCAGTTTTGAACGAGATAGTTATGATAAGAATTTTGTGAAAACTGTTTATATATAAATAAGAGTTTTCAACATATAGCCCATCAATCTATTTCCTCGGAGAGAGGTCGCTTTAGACTTGAATTGACGTATTTCATAAATATAAATTGGACAACCAACATGCTCGGTATATTCGAGGACAAATTTTTCTATTCTATAAAATATATATAAATTAAATAAAGTTACAATATTAATAATAAAATTACATAGCTTTTGTTACTCAATTTATAATTTTTATTACTTAAAATTTTAACATTTAACATAAAATTTATAATTAAAAAAATGATATCATAATTCTTAGTGGAACCAGTGAATGGTGTGGGAACCTTTTACATGGCCGATTGGCATATTCCTTCTTTGCTTTTTGGTGGGTGAGTCACTTTAGCTTGAAAGCGAAAGCCACTAGTCATTCTAAACAATATCTTCCGTGTGTTACATTTTTTCTGCTATTTGTCTATCACCAATTTTACATTAAATTTAGATGTAAGGGTGCTATACTCGTATAATTAAATAATGGAAACAATTATTTTATGTTACATAAGATAATTATTTTATGTAATAAAGATAAAATAGTGGGTTCACTAATTTAAAAATAATGAAAAAAAAACATAAGATAATTATCTTCTGCAACATAAGATAAATAGATTCCTTAAATAATTTATTTCAGAACACGAATTTTATATTTAATCATTATATGATAAAATAAATATAATATAAAAATTATTAATGTAATCTCATTTACTACCTTAAATTTTTAAATTAAAATAGTTCTTTACTTGATATTAAATTTCAATGTCTACCTCATTCTATTAAAAAATAATTAAATATTCTTCGCACAAGTAAACGAAATTTAATACATTATTCACTCTTTAAGTTCAACAAACTTTTATGTTAAAAAATACAAGAAAAGTTATACTTACAATTTATTTTCGTTTACAGCCTCTTACATCCATATATTAATCGTTGATTTCCGCCAATCAACGGTTATCATTTATTGCAAATTAATAATTTGATGTGCTAAAATAATAACCGTTGATTGACAAAAATTAACGGTTAAAATATGATTGTAAGAGGTTCTAAACGAAAATATATTGTAAGTATAACATTCCTCAAAAAATATATAAAAGAAATATAATATAAAAATTATTAATGTAATATCACCTAATCATTTAAATTTTTTGTTTAAAATAGTTACTTACATATATCTTTAAATATCTAATATTATCGTAAAAATCTTACATAGTATATATATTTTTGGTTGATCGGTGTTATTTCTATTACATGTTCATTATATTGCACAATATTTGGAAGAAAAAAAAGGTGTAGATGAAAAAATTGTGCATTATCTTCAATTCCCTTTCTTTTAAGCAGGTAGACTGTAACGTCTGGCCGCTTCAAGAATCAATGACTAGCCCCACATACTAACACGAGACTTTTCAGTGTGTTTTTTCCTCACTCGCACACTTCCTGAGGTCACCCATCCCAGAATTGCTCCAAGTCAAGCACGCTTAACTATGGAGTTCTTCCGTTCCGGGCTACCGAAATGTAGATGCATCTTGTTAGTATAGGTAGTACCAATTAATTCTTATAAGCCATTCCCAACTGTACCGTCCCATACTAGCACAGTCTCTGGAATTCCTCTCTTTCGGGTGTTGATTCGATTCATTCATGTACCCCCGTCCCTAGAAGCCTGCCAGGAGCCGCTCCTTGTCCATGCCCTTTCGCACCGGCGATCACTCCCCGCCCTCGTCAGCGCCCGGGATGTTACATGCCCACCAGCTTCCGCCTGGTTCGTCCTCGAACCACACCGTACTAGATGAGAGGCCTGCTCTGATACCACTTGTAACGCCCAGCCGCTTCAAGAATCAATGACTAGCCCCACATACTAACACGAGACTTTTCAGTGTGCTTTTTCCTCACTCGCACACTTCTTGGGAAAACTCCCCAGGAGGTCACCCATCCCAGAATTGCTCCAAGTCAAGCACGCTTAACTATGGAGTTCTTCCGTTCCGGGCTACCGAAATGTAGATGCATCTTGTTAGTATAGGTAGTACCAATTAATTCTTATAAGCCATTCTCAACTGTACCGTCCCATACCAGCACAATCTCTGGAATCCCTCTCTTTCGGGTGTTGATTCGATTCATTCATGTACCACCGTCCCTAGAAGCCTGCCAGGAGCCGCTCCTTGTCCATGCCCTTTCGCACCGGCGATCACTCCCTGCCCTCGTCAGCGCCCGAGATGTTACATAGACAACTCATTAATGCAAACAAAATATCTTGGAGTACATAATGCATTCGACCACACTTTTTAATGTTTTTATGTGAAGTCACCCCGTGAGTTCACCCTTTTAATATTACTCTTTCAACATGTGAAATTTGACTTTTCCTTTTCCACATGAATATTCTTTCACCGGTACCATATTCTATATACATGCTCAATGTTGCAAAACTCTCTGCTAATGATAGATGGCAAATTGGCAATATCTCATATTCTATTCAACTTAAAATCCCATGAAATATCTATTACAAATTCTGTCCCTCAGATTTTATACATATTTCATTTGCCTTAATGACTTAAGTACAAGCATTAAATTTTGGCAAGTACCAATTTTTTTTCAATTAATCCCATAAAAATTAGAAAATAATAAAAGGGTGTTCACAAGTAAATAGTGTAAGAAACCATAGGAGTATCAACCCTATGGAAGATTTTCAACTCCACTGCAAGTTAATTTGAGCAGCTGAATGAAGATTGTATTATAGGCCTTTTGTTTTTTAAGGGAAAAATAGAACACAGTTCCACATGCATGCCCCAAAAGCATCCTCATAGTATATTATGAGATAAAATGAAAGAATAAATATGTAGTAAGCTAGACAAAAATACCAATCAAGACATGTATTTCACAAAAAAGAGAACCACTCAAGCTCAAACTCTTAATGCATAGACGAGGTAAAATTTTAATCATGCTATAGTGTTGCAATATAGTGACACAAAGTAGAGGTATTTGTTGGCCTTGCTCTTGAACACACTTGATCTAAAATAGATCCAGTGACATCTTCAGCTTGTTTTGTTTCCATCTAGGTAGCTTGTAGAAGGCAGGTTTTGGCATTCCAAACTTCTCGCGGAACTCTTCATTAGATAAATATACCTATGTTTTATCAGAAAGGACATATTCCAGTCAATGTATAAATAGTAAAACACAAACTTTCTAGCATAAAGAGAGTGATTGCCTATCTATATCTCATATATAATAACAATACTTCTGTATGATATCTCAAGAAGAAAAGCAGTACCCAAAAATATTGAAATATTAAAGTGATAACGAATGGAAGTAATAAAGTTCATTATCCAATCAAATTACAAAATAAACATAGCGAGATTTAGAATCAACAAAGAACAATATCTTATGGATCACTGCTGATCCTAGTTATGTGAATAATAAGGAAAAGGGAGATCTCTGGACAAGGAAAAATCCAACAACTCAAGCTTCTTAGAGAACCTCAAACACTTCATTTATGTTCAAGAATCATCACTCCCCATTAAACCCGACTAGCGAGGGTAGGGGTGAGGGCTATCCTTGTACGCAGTCTTACCCTTGCATATTTGTAAAAAGGCTGTTTCTTGAATTTTAACATGTGACCTTTCAATCACAAAGGAGAGCTTTACCACGGCCCCTAACTCCCCCTCTTATTTATGTTCAAGAACCAATTCCAAATTTAAATGTGGTTTTGCAGTTGACATTTGGATCATCATGTTATTACTATATATTAGAGTAATAATTTTTTATCCTATAAGGGTTGGTAATTTCATTTATTGTTCTTTCACAGTGATCCTCCAACATGAAGAAAAAGCAAGGTGAAGAGGTAAGAAGAAAAGGTTGAATGAATGTGAGAAAACTAACTGCTAGATTTCTTCAGTTCAGGAAGTACCTCTCTTCTAGTTAAATCAATGCCTGTTACTGGATTAGCAGAAACCACTCTCAGGCGCTCATAAGGGTATATCAAAGAATTCTCACCATCCGCATTTCTATCCTTCTGAGAGAAACTTGCAGTCTCATTTGACCCCACTTCTGTTGCTAGAGAACCAGACACTGGCATTGTTTGTTCTGGGAAAAAAATGGAAAGGAAAAATAACAACAAAAACATGAAAAGAACCACCCCAGTCAGGTTATAAAAAATAAAAAATAAAAATCTGAATAACTGCGAGGAAAAAAGTCCCCAATATATGAGATATGTAACTAGCCTAGTACGCCACACAGTCCACATTAAGTTCAATTTTTTCAAGTGGTTCAAATTTCATCCACAAACTTTGGATATGTATCAGAATCATTGACTAGCCCTTACTATACCAACTGAGTCAAATACAAGAACTGGTGGAATACAATATCAAACCATACCAACTGTAAAGAACCAATTCAACCCAAAAGCTTAAGCTGTTGGGTGAGGCTATATTAATGGTTTTTATATATTTTAACACGCCCCCTCACACGAAAGCCCACTGAACTTGAAGGGTGGACAATGCACAGGCTCACCTACCTGTGCGAAGAAAGAAATTCCACTTGAAAGAAAGTGGGGGGCGGTGAGGATCGAACCCGGGATACGAAGCTCTGATATCATGTAGAGAACCAATTCAACCCAAAAGCTTAAGCTGTTGGGTGAGGCTATATTAATGGTTTTTATATATTTCAACACCAACTTTAGACTAGATAACACCAAAGAGGAGCTTATTAATTGATCTATTAGCTAACTGTCAAAGTAAATAAATTTCACATCAGAACTTGATGAAATGGATTCTTATTACCAGCACTGCTATGGGTAGGAGATCCTTCAAATAGCTTCTTGACAACTGGAGGATCTGAGCCTACACTCCTAGTTATAGGTGAACTACTTCTTCCACGACCATTGGGGGTAATAGAAATGCTTCTGTAACCATTGGGGGTAGAGTCCTTGGAGTTTGCTTTCAATGTGATTCTATTATGTCCCTGAATAATAGAATAAGAAGATGATGGAAGACAAAGGAACCAAAGAAACAAAACTGAAAACCTTCTGAAATCATTATGAAGTAAATCCTCATAACAAGACCCCAAACCCCCAGAAACATAATAAACCTATGCATAGCCAACCCAATACTACCAAGGTAGTCACTTACTTCTAGAATTTTCCATTGTCCTTTCAGAATTGCAAGCTTTCTCTCAAATGAGTTACCAAGAATCTGCAACAATACAATTTCATTTAAAATAGTTGATGGATGACAACTATAATTGAGATGTGAAACACCAGAAAGGTGCCAAAGATTTTCCATCTATGTGATACAGCATGTTGATACATTTCTGGCGTAAGAGCACAATTGAGATGGAAATTGCAGGCAACTGAAACAGCCTAGAATGTAAGGGGAAAACAAAAACAGCAAGAATGTAGCAACATCCCATCTTCAGACATGATGAATGAAGGCCAATTAATTTTTCCTGCTATTTTTACGTCGGCTGAACTTGAACAACAGTGTAGGCTCGATTAAACTCATACAGTTTTTTTTTTTTTTTTCATCATCACAAATGATATAATAAAGTCAAAATCATGATTGATATCAAACCAAGTAAACACTTGAATTATATATTTGACCTTTTGAATAAAGTTATACATAATAAAATATAAAATTTTATCTGTGGCCACAATAAATAAGGAAAAGTATTTCTCCAGTCACCGGAGATAAAGTTATCTCCAGTGAGCCCAAAACGACATTGTTTTAGGTTGTAAGATTATTAAATTATAATGATAAAGACTAATATAACACTGCAATAAATTAGAATTACAAAAACACCTTGATTTCTGCCACAAAACGACATCATTTTGGGCTCACCAAAGATAGCTTATCTCCATTGACCGGAGAAATCTTTTACCCCAATAAATAATATCTAAATTTAAAAGCAAAAACTGTAACAAGTATGCAGAAGAAATCATAATGTATATGTAAAGAACCTTGGGATACACCACCCCAAAAGCTAGCTCAAAGGGTGGGAGTGCCCAAGACCTTATAAACTCTACATTAGTTGCACATACAACCAATGTGGGACTATATATCTCAACCTCACACGAGAGCCCATTGGGCTTGAAGAGTGGACAATGCAACAGGCTCAGCCTACCTGTGCTAAGAAACGCCACAAGAGGAAGTGGGGGGCGGCGAGGCTCTGATACCATGTAAAGAACCTTGGGATACACCACCCCAAAAGCTAGCTCAAAGGGTGGGAGTGCCCAAGACCTTATAAACTCCACATTAGTTGCACATACAACCAATGTGGGACTATATACCTCAACAGTATACAAGAGAATAAATGGAATGAATAAAGAAAACCAATTAGAAAAATAATTGAAAAATACAATACAAAAATATCTCTTTACCAAAATAATAATAATAATTCTTTGCGAAGATAGCAAACAAAAAAACAAGTTACACTACATTTTCAGGTAATTCAACAAAGATATATATAACAAAAATTTCGTGGAGGGAGTTCTGCTATCAATCTATATTTTTTTAGGAGGGTGGAGGCAGGGGATTGCCTCTAGTCTCTATAAAGCTTCACATCTATCACACTGAGCACTTCTTAAAATTAATCATTATAGTATGGTGATCAATACTTATAATTTTGAAGGGAGAAGACTTACATTTGCTTTTGAGTGATCCCATGAAAAGAAACGAGTGAAAAATGGCGGCTCATGACCTTCCGTTACAACATAAATAGGGATATCCGGGGAAAGGCCTTCAACAAGGATGTCCATTTCCACAAATTTCTGCTCATTACAATTTCCATTGTAAGAAAAACATATTGTAGCAAAGAGTAAGTTCATATTACATTGATAATTGTAGACTTTGATCTCATTTTGTGGATGAATAAGAATTAGTTCCTAAGATGTGGCTAACAAACAATAAAAGAATAATGGAGAAAGAACTCCAAAACTTGATTCTTTATGAATTATAGTTGGACTAATAAACAATGACTTCATTGCATAACATAGAAGCGTTTTTAATGAAGCACTTAACTACAATGGATTCAGTGGCAGAGAAAAGAGTTCTGGAGGGGCTGAGATCCAATAATGCAGAAAAAATAGAAGTACAAACTGCAAAGTAGTTATAACATATATTCATGCTGGGAATTCAAGTGTGAGTGAAGAAGTTCCATATTGGAAAGGAATGGTTAAGTGAGGACCATATATTATAAGTGAAATGAACTATAGAAGTTATTATGGCTTTGTGATGGCATCATGGTGTGAAAATAATTAGCATAAACACTATCAGCAAGATCAATACATGAAGAAAGCAGACAATTTACCAAGCCAAGACTGAGAGCTTCTTGTTTTGATTTGACAACTGAATGTAAGCCAACCCAAACATAAATCTCTCTTTGGCAGTCAAGCAATAAAACATCTTCAGTAATTAAATCATCCTGTGCATAATTGTATATCTCTTTCACCTGAAATATTATTATATCAAGGCCACACTTAATTAATAACGTTAAAATAATATTATAATATGCAATGGAAATTGTTTAATAAAAAAGGCCATAATACAAAGTTCACAGACTTTATTTCAACACATTACAGATATTTTAAATAATTTTTAGAATTGCTAGTTGCTACACATTCTCAAAAGCTTATTAGTAGAATGCAGTAGGTATTTACATGAACAGTTTCAATTTGTAGAAGCAATATACCTTGAAGTCTCCTGAGTTGAAATTCCAATAAATTTGCGTGAGAAACAGAACCATCAATTAGACATGTTTTCCCTGTCATTTCACCCAGGATAATTCTAAAACAAGTGAGATCTAGATTATTTTTCTCAAAAGAGTGTTTTTCTTACCTCTGGTTATTTTTAATGCAAATAAATGTGGATCATCTATGAATCCTTGAATTTCTTTCCCTCTTGGATACTCCGCCTTTCCACCGAGAGCATCCCAGAAAATATCAGGTTCATTCCCTTCCCTCACAGATACAGGTAGCCATGTTGACTGCAAGTTGCATCAACAAATAATATACAGAACAGGTTGAGTCCATTAGAAGAAGTAGCTCAAATAGAAAGCATGAATATTATGGTCAATAGCAATGGCATACATTAAACAGTTCCACCATTCTATCAAGAATATTATGGTCTCTAGCTGAAGATAGGCTCCCAATCCAAGTATAGATAGATGCATCAGCTTGTAGAATGTAGCAATAGGATGAATTCAGGGAGGTTGAAACCTACAAAAATTTTAATACATAGTCAATAAAAACTTACAAATAATACAAAAAATAAAATGCAATATAAGAAAACTATGTTTTAACATTAACCAACTGTTTCAAGTAACATAGAATCACAGATGGGAAAAAAAATTAATTTCAAAGAGATTATTCTAATTATCATGTTATTTTAGTTCCAGCCAGTAGTTGAAATCTATTAAGGATTTGTTACATATATAACAGCCAATAGACCTGCAGTAATTGAGCACGCCATAGGTTGGACTTCAGTATCTAATCCATATTCAATCAGAACAAGATATCGAAACAGTTAGTTATGAAACATAATAGTAACTCCTACTCTGACAAGAGCTTTCTTCAAGCCTGGATATCCATTTTTCCAGTAATTAGAAATAACTGATGCAGTTAAAAAAAGAAACAAGCATTCAATAGATTTGCCATGGTACCCAATTTTGTGGAAATTAGAGATAAGACATAATGAAAATACAAAGGGCTTGACCATGGATAAAAATGTCAGAATCATTGAAACATACTTGATCGACTTGGATGGCCTGCATATTATCTGGACTTGTACCTTGAACTCGAAACAGAGCTACCTGGTTTTCATTGTAAGTTTCATCCACCAAACCTTTTTCTTCTATAAACTTCTTATATCCTGAACTGTTTCCCCCCTTACAACAAGAAGAAAAATGAAAGAATTTGCAGCATGTCACTTTTTTTAATGTTACATACAAACCTTAAAACGAGATTATAGTTGGTATACCTTGAATATGATTAGTCTCTTGAGTATTGAGAAAAACTGAGCTGGCTCCTTACCCTCCTGAATTTGAGCCTGAACAGACATGTGATGTAAATTGAATAAACTATGCAGAGTAAAACAGGGAATTTATATATCTTTTATACTGATGTGCTTAAGATGCAGAATGTAGAAATAAGAGGCTAAAACTTGTTGAGAAGATACAAATTTTACAGATATTTCCCAGAACAACAATGTGATTGCTGCACACATTCAGTTAAAAACATATTATGAAAGAATTAGCAAGAATGACACTAACCATAACTGGATTATTCCTGACTGAATCAGCCAGAGTATTCATGTGGGAAATGGCAGCTGTTTTATCCTCCTACAAGCCAAAATCACAGAACAAAAGAGAATTTTATGTTGAGTTATCAACAACATCAACAACCAAGCCTAATCACACCAGATGAAATAATGAGTTTACCAGTGGCTACAAAAGTTGAAGAACTGAGTACAACATACATGTAAGACAAAATTTATAATTTTAGACATCTTTTGGAAATAAAATTGCATTTCTGAATCTTTTCTATAAATTTTAAAGCCAAAATGCCAATTATGATGTCATGACTAGCTATTTCAACAAAACTAAGTTACAACCTAAAGTAAACCATTAGACTATCATACTATAATTAAAAAGAAAAAAAAATACCTTAAATCTCTCCAGTATATTATCAAATAATGACAGCTTAATTTTCTATGAATTGCGGTAAAAAACTACCTAGTGGAAGACAGAAAACCTTGCCTAGTGCTTACCATTACACATCTGCAGCCAAGCCAAGCATAAAACAAAGTCTCATCCCTTCCATTTCCTGGAAACATATACTGTACTATATAGCAATCTCCACTGTAAAGTCTTGTCTGTTCCGTAACTGAAAGAAGTGATAACTCATCACCATCCACCCGCCAAACCTGAAATCGCAGTATTCAGTTAACAGTTAACACAGCTATAGGCAAATCTGATCATAAAACAACGAGAAACAGCTAGGTTTTTAGCAAGAAGCTACTTTTATTGTGCCACTGCAATCTATAGATGGCTCAATGTCTTCTTCTCCAGGAAGCTCTTTCACATCATAACCCTGATGCTTGAATATGGCTGAGGCAGAAAAAACAATATAAAGAAATGAACTACAGATGACACACTGACTGCACACTTCTTAAACACAATTAAATTGTATAAGATATTAAACCTGCCACTTTTTCTCGGCCTTCTTCATAAAGCCTAGGCTCCATTGTTTTAGGCCAATTAGTAAAGTATGAACGAAAAATGGCACTTTCCAATCCCTCGGATAAAAAAGTCAAATGAGTCCTGTTTGATCTGCCTTCATTTCTGACAAAATCCTAGTAAAATGGAGATAGTAATGAGCATAGGCAATGCATGCTTATCCACAACACAGTTGAGTATAAGCCTTAATGTAACTGACCTTTCATACAGTTATGTTTGCTAAGATTTATGCGGGCTTCATTATTATATACTAGAGAGAATTTTAGCTCTAAAGCATGTAGAATAAAAAATTTTAAGGAAGAAACCTTCCCAAGAATATATATTTCTTTAGGAATATAATTTGACCACTAATAATAACATGGTTGCTGATTTTAACATAAAAGTTTCATGAACAAAGGCGAATAGCCAGCAAGTGGCAAAGACCAACTACATCTGGCAAGGAGGTTGATTGTAAGCGGTATTTTAGTTAATATGAAAGTTTGAGACAAGTACCAGCATATGCCTAATTCTTTGGGACTATGGGAGTAAAACAATTGTGAATGATAACAAAAGGAAACTTAAAGAAAGAGACTCTTACTTCTATAGCTTTGGTAGCTGTTCTTCTTTCTGTCAATAAAGTCTGCCTTCCCATCCAGACAAAAATCTCACCATCACAGTCCAACATATAACACTTATCTGTCTCAAGCATTTCTTTGCTGAATGCATTGCTTCCAGTTTCACAAAGTTTTCCCTGTAAATTTATCCTGTTGAAAATAGGAAACAAACACTCCTTAGCTAAGAGCAAAAAAGTATTTCTTGAAGCAAACAAAGTTCTTTTGCTATTTCTCCCTCACACATTGCCTAAAGCAAACTGCTTTCCATTTAAACTGATTAACAAAATGACTAGGATTAGTCAATTAACTATGATGGTATTAAGTTGACAGTTAAACTATTAATGTGAATCAGTATAATTATTGATCCAATGCTAACTTGCTGGGTGTTTAAGAGAGAAATAAGGTCAAGTATGGATTATCAACACATGTCTTCATGCATTTACATAAGCATTGTGCACACAGATGTATGAACCTCACCAAAATAGCTTTACAGATGGAGCCACGGGTTCCTGAACGGAAGGCAATTCTCGAGGAATGGGAGCATAACCACCAAATAAACTCCAGAATTCACCCACATCAGAATCACCAACAAATTTTCCATCCTCTACAACAATTGTACAGTTAAAATTTGCAAAATATTTCGCTCAGAAAATAGATATAAAAGGACAAGCCCCAGTACACAAGGCTCCCCCCCCACTTTGCGAGGGTAGGATGTGAGTTCATTGTACGCAGCCTTATCTATGCATATTTGCAAAGACACAAAAGATCGTTTCCCATACTCGAACCCGTGTCTTTCCGGCCAAAAAAGAGTAATTTTACCACTACTCCAAGGCTAAAAAAAAGATGAAAAGGAAATAGCATATATTCCAACCTATGGTTGCCACTTCGCACTTTGCACCATGTTTATTTTCCTTGATATACTGAACAACCTCCAAAGCTTTGGCTCTTTCTTGAATGGTGGAGTTGCACCCACTGAAGAGGAAGATTTTTGATGCAGTGTCAAGTATGAATACATCTTCATGATTCAATGATGACCTTAGAAAAGGGACCTAATGAATGTATAAGCACATCAGACAGGCTACACTAATGAACTTCTAATCAAACATAAAGACATGTTGATAAAGGATTATAAGAAAAAGATGTGAAAAATCAAACAACCGAAAGCAAAGACTAGAAAATTATAATGTGGTGTGGGCTATGCTGTCTGGAGACTGACATGTATTAGCTCAACGGGAATCACCGTTAATATCATCATCTAAAGTTTGCAATTTTCATCCCTTTGTAAAAATCATGGCAAAAAAAAAAAAAAAAAACCTTTGAAATAATTAGAAAATCATACAGCATTATGAGGACAAAGAATAAGCTCAAGTCAATAAATATACTTTTCAGTAAGAAGAGTAGGCGAAGAGGAGGAGATTCACACAAATTATCAAACTATCAGATAACAGAAACAGTTAATTATTAAACTTGAGAGACGACTCACTTCTTTAACATGAACAACATAGTCTCCCTTGCATGTGTACAGGCTAACTTGGTATTCACCATTCAAGTTCCCCTGCTTTGAAGTAAACACTCCTTCAATGGGTATAAAGCAAGGCTTGAAGTACGATAGAAACTTATGTGATTCTTGGCCTTGAATTTCCCTATATTGAACACTGCATGATCCTAAGGCTGCATCCAACTCAAGTGCCTTGTCTGATGCCAAGCCTGAGTCCACCTAAATACAAAATCAACAGTGAAACAATGCAGATTATGCTGTTTTTCAATATTCACACTTTTTTCAAGTACTATGTTCATTGTTTAATGTATCTTTTAAATCAAATGCTGTGGATAGATAATTGTTCCAATATGCCAGTCCTCTTCCTTGGTCTATCTCTAACGACATTTAAACGATCAAGCAATTCTTAGATAAGCCAATACACAGCCATAGTCTTTGTTTTGCTGTTGGATAAAAAGAAATTACACATCAAACAAGTTTTATTGTGGAAATCTCATAACTATGAATTAGTCATTATAGTTTCGCATGTCCTTCAATTTTATAAGTTGCATTTCTATACAGTTCCACTCTCTTCTCAAATTAGAGAACTATTGATTGCAGTAATGGTGAAAAACATGACATGAAATGGTTAGGAAAATGGAGAACCACATTAGAAGTAAAAATAATAGGGAACCAATTGGGGTTAAAAGGGATAAGGACTAAGGGAATATAAAGCCTAAAAAAACTTCTCCCGCGGAGAATTAACAGTAATAAAACAATTATCACTGCAAGCAAGGCAGTAAAACAAGAAAAGATACAAACCTTCTTTGTGTCATTTCCCAGCCAATAGTGGATGTCATACTGAGGAGGGCCACTTTTGGGAAAAGTTGCCTGTTTCCACAATCATGTAAAAAGGTTCAGATTAATTGTATATTAAGAGAATTTAGATGAAATAAAGCTCATAATGACAGGGAACTGCTAAAACCCCATTATGGTGAAGGTGGCTCCAAAAGTAATGGGATAAACTCCAAAAAGGGATAGTGAAACTGTGAAAGAGATGATGATGGTAATCTTTGAATTTAGGATTTTAATTGAGATATAGTCATCAACTTCTTCATGTGTTTAAACTTTAAAAGGATCAACAGGGAGACAAAAGTGAGCGATATCTTACATTCAAAACTATGTATGCACTTCCAGAATAGAATTTTCCATGGCTTGACTTTGAGACTGGAACCAACTGCTGGTTCTCAATACACCAAACTTCTAAGCCTCTAAGAATAGAAAGCTAAGAATAAAGCAGTAAACTTGAACAATAAATGTGATACATTTTAAAATGAAATTTATTGCCGAGGAAGAAATCAGGAAGAACTATGAGACATCTTTTTAAAAAACTCAAGAAATAAGTCTCCAGGCCAAGGTTTTATGTGCTTCCCAACTATATTAAAAATATGACACTAACAGAATACATGAAACTACTTTTCCATTTTTATTTTATTTTATGTTGTCTCTAAAGTCAATAAGACACTCATCCAATGGCTGAGGAAACCCTTTCTCAATTGGCATGGACTAATGCAAGTTGATCAGTTGTTTAGTTCTTGGTGCCTTTGTCATCAGAAATTAATTGTAATTTTGTTTTCTTTAGCAAGCAAAAAGCTTAAGAGGGCAAGCCTGGAGCAATGGTAAAACTGCTCCTTTGTGACTGAAAGGTCACGGGGGATTTAATGGAATTATGGGAGTGGTTTTTTCTTTTTTTAGCAAGTAAAAAGCTGAACTCGAATACAACTATTACCTAATCAATAGACTTAACACAAATCATAAAACAATTTGAAAGATAAAAGGTTGTAAGGATACGGGTTTGCTCCTGCAGTTTGGAATGCAGAATCCAAGTCTTTAGCGAAAATAGGCATTGTCTCTGTGGCTCTAATACTCCACCAAAATTACTCAACAACACCAGATTATTCTGCAATCCAGGATTTAAGTTATATTAGTCCTTAGAACCTGAGACAAATGTAACTAGTAGGATTGCACTTTGCAACGTGTATTGTTAAATTTTTCTAGTTAGGGTTTAAGATATAAGGATAAAGCAATTAGAGAAGGAAGAAAGAATCTTGGAGGGGTTTACATTGATAACTTGATGTTCTGCCCATCTATAATCCAGAAGCAGTGTTATATTAAAAAAATCAAGGTAAGCAAAGGTATGCTACTACTGCATAATTTAAATTCAAACAGCTAAGATGGCATTGAAAGAACACTTAATCAAATCAATTGTGTTCATAATTTGCAGAACTTGGTATTGGTATGCCATTATGCCAGCCACTTGACTGTAAATTACTTTGTTCTTTTTCTTTGACTGTAAATTACTCAACCATAATGCCATACAACTTTAAGAAATCTAAACTACTGACTCAGAAAAAATTTCCTCAAACTTTTCAGAAATTTCTACCCAAAATCAACGTAACACTCAAGCTGACTGTAAATTATTCTATAGTAGTCAACACCCACAATTTAATGGAATAGAACCCAGTTCTAGCAACCACAAAATCCAAATATTTAAGCCTCTGAAAGCAAAAAGGCCATTCCTTGACCCTTGGGGAAAATAGAAATAACAATAGTAATTCAAGAAAAGTTAAAGAAAGAAGATGATCTGAAGTTAGGAAGCAAAACACAGAATCTGCTAAACAAATTTAATAAGCATGTAACTGAGTTGACCAGATGGCAGATCATACCTTGTTTGCACAGCAGATTCAGGAGGATCCAACAACTAACAAGTGAGACTTATGATGCTGATGTTTGAACAGACAGGGAAAGAACAAAACTTGGATATACCCGTTTGCCACATTGAAATGCAAATGAAATGGGACATTTATATATTGGCTGGTAAAATGGCACTAGAATAATTATAACACTGTTTGGTACAGAAAGAGACTTGTGAAAAAGCAAAAAAACAAAATTTTTTTAAGAAAAAAAAAGCATGCTTGACTTTATCATCCAGCTAGTAAGGGACCCCACCAAAGTCACTTTGTAGTTGTTCTCTTTCCACTGTGTTTGAAAAAAAGTAGATGATGAAACATGCGCAGCTTGGTCCCCTATGTTGTCTGTTTTACAGCTTGGTCCCCCATGTTGCATGGCCATGGAAACTGGAAACCAATATATAAACTATGCCTTTTATAAGAATCATGTAGTAGGAATAGTGATAATAAATAAATAAAATTATCAAAATAACTTTCATTAATTCCTTCGACTCTCAAAGTGTGTATATGGGTTTGTCATTTCTACTTTTATAAGAGATAAAATTATGCACGTATATAAAAATATGAGGGCTGAGGTTATGTGAAAAGAAAAGAGAGAGAAAAGAAAACATAGGCCCCACAAGAATACTTTCACTACAACAAGAGTACTCACTATTAGGTGCACGTGCGACAAGAAATTTTACACTATATATTTCCAAGATCGATTTTACTTACTATTAAAAAAATTGACTACTCTTGCTATTAAACTAATCACGGTTGATTTACGTAATCTCATGGTTATAATTTTTTGGATCATACTTATTAATTAATTATTAATTCTAAAAAATTATAAATGTCAGATTAACAAAAATTAATGGTGATTAGTTTAGTAATAAGAGTAGTAAAAGTTTTCAGTAGAAACTATAACCGCTAATATATACATATATATATATATAATATATATATATATATTATATATATATATATATATATATATATAGAGAGAGAGATAGAATCTTTGACACTGATCTCAAACTTTGAAATTTGACCCGAAATCCTAACCGTTAATTTCCGTCAATCAATAGTTATCATATATTGAAAATTAATAATTAATTAATAAGTTTGATTCCCAATAAATGATAATCGTTGATTGGAAAAAATCAATGGATAGGATTTAATGTCAAAATTCAAGGTTTGATACCGATGTCAAAGGATCATGCCTCATGTATATATATGAATTTATTATTTGTATAGTCTATTATGTATTTAATGTTTCGTACCGTCAGCTAAAAATAACGTCGTTTTGGGTAGGATAAAGGAAACTCGCGTTAAAAATTAATTGTAGAAAATAGGAATAATATATTTATTCTCATCTTTGTATGATTGTGATTCCTCATATTTAATGCTTTATATATATTTTCACCTTTGTATGATTATGATTCCTCATATTTAATTTTTTACGCTATAAAACAATGTAGTTTTATATGACTGCACCAATGCTTAGGTGCAGTCACTAACTCACTGCACATCTGACAAACCCAATATATATATATATATATATATATATATATATATATATATAGGTAAAATCATTTCTGCAGCTAATTTACGTACAACAACGACAGATGTATGATTATGATTCCCCACATTTAATGCTTTCATCCTTTGTATGGTTATGATTCCTCGCGTTTAATGCTTTCAAGTATATATATATGGCAAGTATTTGATTGCTGCATGTGCAATAGTTGCAAAAATGTAAACCCATATATATATATATATATATATATATATATATATATATATATATATATAAAGGAAGGTTATACTTATAACATATTTTCGTTTACAACCTCTTACAATCATATCTTAACTGTTGATTTCCGTCAATCAACGGTTATTATTTTCGCAAATCAAACTCATTAATTAATTATTAATTCATAATAAATGATAACTGTTGATTGACGGAAATCAACGGTAAAGATATAGTTGTAAGAGGTTGTAAATGAAAATAGGTTATACACTTATACCTATAATATTTCCTCTCTCTCCCTCTATATATATAGAGAGAGAGACAGAAAAAAAAATAGTTGTCTTATGTTGCACACTTATAAAATCTTGTGCCCATTTTTTCTTTTCATTTTTTACTTTTTTGAAATTGTGGATCTACAACTTTATTTCACCCATATAAAATATGACATAAGATTAATAACTCCTATATATATATATATATATATATATATATAGGGGCAGGATATTCTTACACCAGTGTAAGAGTTAGAAATCTTACACTCAATCTTAATCATTGATCCACTTGTATCCAATGACTCATATTATTAAAAAATTAGAGCCCTTAGATATAAATGGGATCAACGGATGAGATTAAGAGTGTAACTTACACTGGTGTAAAATGATCCTGACCCATATATATATATATAGGGAAAATGATTTGCCATGTTACATGACAATAAATCAATTTTTTTACACACATAATTCAAGTTGGGCCCGCCTTTGATTTTTTTCTCACTCCACTATTTAATAGACCCCACATATGTTATGAGTGTGTAGGAAAATGGTTTCTCGTTATGTAACATGATAAAAACAAAATCTATACATATATATATATATATGGGGTTTGCATTCATCATGCAACATGACCATAAAATGTTTCCTACACACACAATATTTTGTGGGGCCCGCATTTTTTTAAGCAAAAAAAAAAAACTACGGCACGCAAAACGAATCTCTATAACATAACACAATCACTTTTTCTACAACATAACTTTTATAAAACCCTATATATATATATGGGGTAAACATTTCTGCAGCCACTTTAAATAAGCTTATCTACAGCTACCCTTTATAACTATGTTCTCCCGAGGGAACATAGTTATAACATTAAAAGTTACTTTTTTTTCTCTCTCCTCATTTACTTTTTAGAATTTGTCTGCTGACGTGGAGAGAGAAAAAAAAAGCAACTTTAATGTTATAACTATGTTCTCCCGGAAGAACATAGTTATAAATGGGTAGCTGTAGATAAGCTTATCTAAAGTGGCTGCATAAATATTTTTTCCTATATATATATATATATAATAAATTCATTTCTGCAGTCGCTTTGGGTGTGCATGACAACCTTTCCGGAATCAATTCTTTTTTAATTTCTGTTCCCGGGAGCAGAAATGGATAGAAAACTCGTTTGATAAAATCGGTTTATTTTTTTGTTCCCGAGATGAACCAGTTTGATTTTTGTGCTGGGGAACAGAAAAAAGAATCAAAAAATTTCTGCATTTTTGTTCCCGGGCACAAAATGAGAAACACTTATCTTTTTCAATCACTCTCCATCTCTACCATCATCACCACCACCATCATTCCGACACGACCACCGCCACCATCGTCGCTGTCGTTGTCGTACCACTAGTGTCGTCGTCACCACCCCCACCACCACGATGCCACTGCCACCATCACCACCACCTCCACCCATCACTACCACCATACCATCGTCACCACCACAACTACCACTGCCGCCACCACCACTATCACTGTTACCATCACCACCACGAGATTTGCAATGAATAATAATCATTGATTGACAAAAATCAACAGTTAGAATATAGTTGTAAAATGTTATAAACAAAAATAGTTTGTAACTTATAAGTATAACCTTTTCCTTTTGTATTGACTCTTGTAATTTTGAATATTTGTTAAAAATTCATATGATTTTTTAAAATCTTATAAATTCATATTGTCCTTTCAAATCTTATAAATTCTATTAAAATCCTTTAAAATCCAATCTTACGAAATCTTGATTATAAAAAAAGTCTTTTAAAAAAGTCTTTAGAGTCTTTCCAATTCTAAATAGTCTTTTAAAATCTATAAGATTTTTTAACTCGAAAAAATCTTTTAAAATCCTAATCTTATACACCCCCTTAAGACTCAATCTTAAATCCTTACACCTATACCTTCATTTACAATTAAGAATACCTCAAAAATGCATGTCTAGCTTTATTTTTTTTTATTTTTTTGATAACATCTAGCTTTATTTTTCACATATTGAATAAAGCTAAATCTTAAATCCTTATACCTTCATTACTTTGATATTTTTACATGCAGTATGTATTGAGTGAATCAATCCAGTTAACTTGCATATATAGATATATTACAAAAGGACTAATATTTCTTTTATGGCAAAATATACTCTTATGTTGTAGGAGAGTATTTTTCTCTCCTACACATACATCGATTTTCGTGTTATTTTTTTTTTCAATTTATCTTTTTTTATAAATGGATGGGTCCCACATATTATTGTATCTATAACATGAGAGAGTTCTCTTATTACATGAAATTAATAATGCCCTTCTTTTATATGAGATAAAATTATTATTATATATATATATATATATAGATAAAAATATGTGAGGCCATGTGGAAAAAAAACATAAATTTTACATACTTTTATATATGTATAGAAGATAAAATTATCTTTTATAATATGATAAACACAAATTCCATGGGTTATTATTGTATATATTATTAATTGTAATCCTAATATTTAGATTTTGAAATCTCCAAAACATTATATAGACTAACAAAGCTTGGTACTAAAACAATTAATCGTAAGCTAGAGACATTAATGACCTAGTATCCAAATATCTATTTGTATCCTCTTGTATGAGAATCCCGATACACCTTTGCACAAAATTTAATGTAATGGCCGAAAAACAAAATGCAAGTAATAATTACATTCTAATACCAAGTTTCTGTAGCTAGCCCAATTCAGTTATAGGATTCTGTGGCAATTCAAGAAAGTTAGCAAATAAAACATATATTTTGACCTTTCTTGGTGCTTGTGCTCGATCTATGTGGACCTTTATACATATTTATGCTTTTCTCTTTCAATGATAATTTATCCGGAATATAAGATGTTTTTTGGTCATGCTGCTTGCTGAATTTACTGTTTGGTGACATCTTCATTCCTATCTCTCTAGTTCATTGATGATTTGTTTTATATAAAATAAGAATTCATTAATAAAACAGAGAAATAAAAAAATTCCTTAAAATCCCAATTTTTGGAGTGAAAAGGTATAAATTCGAATTGGATTAT